TTTTTACATTCTCTCCTCTACTTTTCTGTAGGCCCGGGCTATTCGGGAACAAATTGGCTATTCTGACAACATCATGGATGATGAATATCTCAACAACGAGTACAAAGATGTGAGTGTCTGAAAATCTGCATTTAGGCATGTTTTTCTTCTTTCACTGAAATAACACAAAGCGGCTTCATTGTAGCCTCATATCAGTTCTATGAAAACCATTTTGCCAAATTCTTGGCTTTTATGAGCTTAGCTGGAGAATATATGAACAGGTGTTGATAGCTCTCATCACGGCTAATCCTCCCATTTCTTTGGCTGTGTGTTGGCGTTAGCTGAGCTACAGTGCAGAGGAGTACTTTGAAAACATCCTACAGAACCTGGAGTACGTGCAGAAGAAATACCTGCGGAAACTGAGAGTCAAAGTCAACAAAGAGGAGTAAGATTCCTGTGGGTTAGAGTTAGGAGGTTAAATCAATGCTCAGCAAACAGGCTTTCCCAGGTGTTTAGTAAATCACTAATAATAAATGTCTTGTTCGCTTATGGCCCTTGTAGTGTGACACACAGTCTTGCACAGTGTATTCTCCCACACTAACTCCTACTCAGCCATCCACTAAATGCAGCAGCACTGCTAATATTGGCTTGGTTATTAATAACCACAGATTAATTTTAATACCTCTTTAGTGAATTTGGATTGTCTTGCACTATAGGTCTCCTTATTGTACAGTCTTTAAATCTTCAGGTGGGTAACTGGAGCTGCTGTTGTCAACGCCTTCTACTCAGTCAGCAAAAACCAAATAGGTATTTTTACATGTGCAGACACATTCATTTGCAAATACATGCATGTAATTATTCTTCGTTTTACATTAAGTAAAGTTTTAAAACCATTTTATTTAGTTTTGCTTTTCCTGGTGCCAGTGTTCCCTGCAGGTATCCTCCAGCCACCTTTCTTCAGCAAAGGCCAGGCCAAATCTCTCAACTATGGTGGCATTGGCATGGTAATCGGTCACGAGATCACACATGGCTTTGATGACAACGGTATGACTTTTCCACACTGTTGCTCTCTGTTCCTCCCAGAGGCCATTTTGGCAGATGACATTGGTCTTTGGATAGAAATACTCTACTGCATTTCCCTTTCTATAACTGGTACAATGCCATTTCAGGGGAAATAAAGAGTTTTGAAATGCCATTCCTCCAGGCCGACCCAGGTCTTTTTTCACAACACTCGAATTCAAAGGGCTTTGTGATGCTATGTTCAATTTCATCAATTGCAAAGATGTCAGGATACTTTTATACTGATTTACTGCAAGCCACCCAGAACAGAATGGAAGAATGTAACTGAGGTCAGTTGCCGCATTTGACTGCTCTCTCAGATGGATGCTTGAGCATGCATCACTGAGTTGTTT